CCCCCGTCTCTCTGCTCGCTTCTCTCTTTTATATCTCAAGAGATTGCATGAAGACACAATCCAATCTTTTAGATTGAGTCCTGTCTTACTAACACAACTGCCACCCATCATCCCTCATTAATATCATAGAGGCAGGATTTACAACATACAGGAAAATCGCACAATACTGGGAATCATGGCCCAGCCAGATTGATACACACATTTTTGGGGGACATAATTCAATCCATGACGAGGAGTAACAGAATTAGGTACGTCTCATAGGCTTTTAGGACTGACTGCTGTGCCATTAAGAGGAGGTATTGCCCTGGCCTCCATCTGCAAACCAGCGGGGCCTGTAACAGTGATGGCGGACAGTCCGAAAGTTATAAAGCCATCATCTAAGTGACAAAACCCACGAAAGGAGAGCCATCTGCTACCAAATTGTAATTGTCTCATAATGTGTACATTCACGAATGCCCCCCAAAGTAAACAGTCATCCTATGATGACTTCATTGTGATAATTGCCACCAATGGGTGAGTGCTTACTCAGGGCCAGGCATTTCCTCAGTACAGCCTCAGATGTGGGCTCATCCCCATAATGGATTAAGAGTGTCAGGAAAAATGATGAAAGACTTTGAAATGGGCAAAAGATGACCGAGTACCTTTCAGTGGAATGCTGGGAGCTGTCTATCGGATCTTTCAGGTTAGCTGATTCACTGTTGTTGTTAGCTGCCATTGAGTAAGCCCCAGCTCATGGCGACCCCATGCACAACAGAATGAGACACTGCCTGGTCTTGTGCCGTGCCCATGATCGGTTGGGATCAGACTGTTGTGATCTGCAGGGTTTCCATTGGCTGATTTTTGGAAGTAGATTGCCAGGCCTTTCTTCCTAATGCATCTTAGTCTGGAAGCTCCACTGAAATTTGTTCAGCATCATAGCAACACACAAGCCACCACTGACAGATGGATGGCGGCTGTGCATGAGGTGCATTGACCGATAGTAATGCAAGTGATTCTGGTCCATAGAAATACAAATATTTTTTTTTTCTTGTAGAGATGCAATCGATTCACCTTGTGGAATGATTATTTCAAACATGACATTTTAGTGCTTGTAGCTATTAACCTAGGAGCACTGGTGGTGCAGTGGTTAAGCGCTCAGCTGCTAACCCAAAGGTCAGCAGTTCAAACCCACCAGCCGCTCAGCGGGATAAAGATGTGGCAGTCTGCTTCCATAAAGATTACAGCCTTGGAAACCCTCTGGGCAGTTCTACTCTGTCCTGTAGGGTCGCTGTGAGTCAGAATCAGCTTAACAGACAACAGGTTTGGTTTTTTGGTTTAGATAGTAACCTGTTAGCAAGTTTATCTCAGTACCTATTAACAGGTTTATTTCCTTTTTGCATCTCTTAGCAACTTTATTTAGCATCCCTGGTTGCTTACTTGTCTCTTATAACACCTTGCTAACTTTCTCTGTAATCGATGAGTTAAACAAAATCTTTAACATATGTTCCTATTATATTTGCGTGAGAGCCATGGTTTTACCATTTTGGAAGTTTTATTTTAACGCTGATTAACGATCTTTAAGAGGCCATTCCTCTGATCTTTTTTAACTTGGGAAACCCAGTTTCACACTCCAATATTTCTAACAGGAAAATTAAAACAAAACAGCAAACTGAAAAAAAAAAACCCATTGCCATAGAGTCGAATTCTGACTTATGGTGACCCGATAGGACAGAGTAGAATTACCCCCATAGGGTTTCCAAAGCTATAAATCTTTACAGAAGCAGATTGCCACATCTTTCTCCGGTGGAACGGCTGGTGGGTTTGAACAGCTCACCTTTCAGGTGGCAGCGAAGTGCTTAACCACTGCACCATGAGGGCTCCTGAACAGGAAAATAAGAACGCCTAAATCAGATCACTTTTCTTCTGAGAGTGGTATCTAGTTGACTGGAATGTTCATAGGACCCCTGGTGGTGCAGTGATTAAAGCATTCATCTGCTAACTGAAAGGTGGGCAGTTCAAACCTACCAGCCGCTCCACGAAAGAAGGATCTGGCAGTCTGCTTCCATAAAGATTAAGCCTTGGAAACCCAATGAGGCAGTCCTACTCTGTATAGGATCACTATGAGTCGTAATCGACTCAAGGGCAGTGGGTTGGGTCTGGTTTTTGTTCGGAGCGTTCATGCACGCTTCCTTCAAGCTGTTAAATGGTGCTGACTTATAGCAAACAGTTAAAACCCAGCTTTGTTCAGTTGTATCTTCCCGTTAGGCCTGCAACTGCTCCCCTGCCCCCAACCTGCTATTGTTCATCCGGTTTACCTTTTTTGCCCCACTTCTATATTCCGAGGGCACAAATCGCAGCCCCACGTTCTTCCTTTGAGCATGTGACCCCTTGTCACTGGTATTTCTCTCCGAGGTTCTAGAGGGTGATCCAGATTATAGTTTGAAACAGCATTCCCTGCTGATAAGGAAAAGGGATTAGTCTTGTGCTTTCATTCACAACACTCAGGGTGACCTTTCAATACTCAAGTCTATCAGGGCAGCGTAGCAAGATCGGATTTTGAAGCCGGAAACGTGGATGATCAGCCTGGCCTAAATCTACCTCTTTACCATAGGATCAGTCACATTAAAGCCTGCTAACAGCCCTTCTGGAAAACGAGTCAACACGTCTTCACTGAGAACCAATAATGTACCCAGTATGTGCTAGGGACCGTGGAGGACATAGAAATATAACCATAGTTCCTTTCCACAAAGAATCTTACAGTTTATACAGAAAGACAAAAATTATATGAACAACAGGAAAAAAAAAGAAGACAACAAAAGGATGAGGATGGAGCTCTGGGTTTTGGAGTGGGCAGAAGTGAAGCCCATGAGGGCGTCTGGCCAGGAATGGTCAGAACTGGGAGACAGGGAATGGAATCCAAGGAAGCGGGAGTGTCACAAGGACCAGAGTGGCCAACACCGTTAGATGCAGCAAGAGGGCCTGTTAAAAAATTAACAATAAAAAAGGACTGATACATATTTATTGAATTTGACAACTACATGACCTTTGCTAGATAGATTAATGAGTTTTGCCAGTAGTTTC